GTTTAAGCTGACAGACCACTTTATGGATTGTTTGCAAGGTTTATTTTAATCCTGTAGGCACTGATGTGCTGCTGTGCCAGGAGCCCCGCGCCCTTTGGGTGCCTGATTGTATTCTGGTTGTTCCTGTGTCAGTGCATTGACAAAGTAAATCAACTGCTTCAAAAGGAAATTAATTTGCTTCCTGCCTTTACATGTTTGGCTCCCATCTTGGGGAGGAAGAAGGAGTTTCAAAGTTCACAAGGAATATAAATAGAATCACATGCAGTGAAATACCTTTCTGCCTTCAGTCCCTGAGATTCTTCCAGAGGAGGCCACGAGGATGTTACGGGGCCTGGAGCACCTCCCAGATGAAGACAGACAATTTGGTTTGTTCAGCCTGGAGAAGAGAAGCTGCTGGAGACCTCAGAGCAGCTTCCAGTGTCTGTAGGGGGCTAGACACTCTTCATCAGGGACTGTAGTGATAGGACCAAGGGAGAATGGGTTCAAACTTAAACAGGGGAGATTTAGGTTAGATACAAGTCAGAAGCTCTTCCCTGGGAGGGTGCTGAGGCGCTGGCACAGGGTGCCCAGAGAAGCTGTGGCTGCCCCAGCCCTGGCAGTGTTCAAGGCCAGAGACACTGTGTCTCATACATCCCTCACGTTAGTTTGCTCTGACTTGTGTGCACCCTCCACCCTGCCCTTGGGTCAACACTTTCTGCTTGTCTTTCTGGCCAACCATGTGCTCAACTTACCTGTGCTCCATTTTGACCTGTGTGGCCTCACAAATTTCTTGCATACCTGCCACCACCTCTTCTGTATTACTCTTCAAGCTCTGGTTTCCCCTGTCAGGAAGGAGCTTTGTGTGCATAGTTCTCAGGTGGGTCCTCTTTCATCCTGCCTGGTCAAAAGTGGGCAGCAGGGCTGGCAGTAAGACATGCCTTGTTGCCACGGGGATATTCCCTCCCCTGCTCTGACTGTGCCTTTTCAATCATGTTCTCCAATTAGTTGTATTTCTTTGATTAGTTTTAAATCCTAATTGAGACCAGTCATCCTTGTGCAGGAAAGAAGGAAGGATCCAGCAACCCATCCACTGTAAAGAACTCCCACTAAAAATGTGCTGTAACAACTCTGGGTATTGGTAGGAACCACAGAAAGCACTGTTCTAAAAAAAGGAAAGGAAAGGCTGAAAATAGCAGAATCCCAGGAAAACTAGAACAATTGCTGCTATTAAAGTCAAGTAGCTAAAATGAACCCACACTGGAAGCAAGTCGGGACTCCTAAAAGTAGCTGAACATTTAGAGGTTGCCTGTTGAGGGAAACCTTCCTGCAACAGAGCTTCCTATAAGTTCTGCAGCCTGCTGATTTTTGAGAGCCTGCAAAGCTTCTTGGTGACACAGATCAAAGTGCTGCAGATCATTTTGTGCCTGGGAGGCAAGAAAGCAAGCCTTAAAATAGGAAGGAATACACCAGAATGGGCTCTCTTACAGCTCGGCCTGGCCACAGACCCCAGTGCCCTGGTTTCCCATAGTCCCTACACCAGTTGCAGAGTCCTGGATATGTTTCTCTTGAAGTTCAGTCCAAGACCTGTCAGAGGCCAGGTTGGACACAGGGGCTTGGAGCAACTTGCTCTAACAGAAGGTGTCTCTGCCTGTAGCAGGGGGTTGGAGCTGGAGGAGCTTTAAGGTCCCTTTCAACACGAACCAGTCTATAATTCTGTGATATTCTTCAGTTGTCTCTTCCCTTTCCCTCGTTGGTTGTTATAAATACCCTTGATGCTCTCTAACTCTATTTTTATTAAGGTTTGTGTGAGTCCAGGTCCATAGAGACTGCAGAGAGCACCTGAGAGCTTACCACCATAGCAATCCTCTGCCGCTGCCTAATGCCCTTTTCCCCTTCCCTCCTGCAGTGGTTGAAGGATCCCGGTCCCCGCAATGAGAAGAGGACACTCTTCTGTGACATGGTGTGTTTCCTGTTCATTACTCCCCTGGCTGCCATCTCGGGCTGGCTGTGCCTGCGTGGAGCCCAGGATCATTTGCAGTTCAACAGCCGGCTGGAGGCCATCGGACTCATAGCACTAACGATAGCACTTTTCACAATCTACGTCCTTTGGACGCTGGTAAGTGGCTGCTGCCCAGGGCCTTCTTTGTGTTCAGGAGGGAGATGGAAGTCCTGGCTCACCCCATGTTCCTGCCTCCCCCTGGGAGAAAACCTTGAGCTCTTTCTCTTGAAGGTCCATTTAATTTACTTCAAATGGGAGCTGCTTGCTAAGAATGAGAAACCACTTCCTCATCATCTGCTTTCCAGATTGACATAGGAACAGTGTTCCCCGGGGTGTCGTGTACCAGGGTGCAGAGCTGGGTGGGAAGGTCTGGTGCTGGGGGCAGGCAGAGGTCCAGTGGTGATGCCTATTCCTATTTTCAAGAAGAAACACAGAAATGGTACCCATGTGGAAAATGTTTAACAGCCTAAATAATAGATCCCTAAATAGCAGACCCGCTCTACCCTGCTTGTGTGAGACTCCCCCCTGCAGTCCTGCGTCTAGCTCTGGGGCAACAACAAAACAGGAATGTGGAGCTGTTGGAGCAAATCCAGAGGAGGCCACAGAGCTGCTGCGAGGGCTGGAGCAGCTCTGCTCTGGAGCCAGGCTGAGAGAGCTGGGCTGGGGCAGCTGGAGAAGAGAGGGCTCCTCAAGGGGACACCTTAGAGCAGCTCCAGTGCCTGAAGGGGCTCCAGGAAACCTGGAGCGGGGCTTTGGACAAGGGCCTGTAGGGCCAGGACAAGGGGAATGGCTTTAACTTGCCAGACGGGAGACTGAGATGAGCTCTGAGGCAGAAGCTCTTCCCTGGGGGGGTGCTGAGGCTCTGGCACAGGGTGCCCAGAGAAGCTGTGGCTGCCCCATCCCTGGCAGTGTTCAAGGCCAGGTTGGACACAGGGGCTTGGAGCAACCTGCTCTAGTGGAAGGTGTCCCTGCCCGGGGCAGGGGTTGGAGCTGGAGGAGCTTTAAGGTCCCTTCCAACACAAATCATTCTGTACTTCTGTGATAAATAATCTGCTGTCATGTCGCTCCATGCTTTGTGCTGCACAGGTTGGCCGTGCCCAAAGGAAGTGCACACTGACCACTGGGGTTTTGGGGTTCTCTGTGGCCCACAACTAGACAAATTCCTACACAGTATTTTAATGATGTCAGTAGCACAGAAGGGTGTGTGCAAGAAACACTCCAGCCCTGGGGAGAGCTCTGACTTCTCCCTCATACTGGGTTTTCTGAGGTGAGGCTGGGCAGGCAGCCTGCCCTGAACCACTGCTGTGCCTGTGGAGCTGTGCTGCCTGGGGCTGGAGGTGCTGGGAATTAGTGGGAACCTGCACTTGCCTCTCTGGGTGTTGAACTGATCCCTGCTGGGAAAGAGCTTCCTGCAGATGCCTTAATTAACATCTTTTTGGACATGCTGGATGAGGAACCAGGAGCTTGGGGTGAGTCCTGAAGAGCAAAAGGTTAATGTGGCTCCACAGTGTAGCACATCTGTGAGTGCTTCCAGCTAAGTCCCAAGGAGCTGCTGGGTTGGGGCCAGGTCCCTGCCCTGCTGCTCCCTGTGCCCTTGGGGCTCCCATGCCAGGGACTTCCCTCTGTTTCCCATTCCATTCTTTTATGTTCTAGATGGAATTTGGGGTTTGGATCCTCATTTTAATGTTCCTGTTCAAAGCCCTGTGTGTGCTCATGCCCTGTCTATACCCTTTTCCAGCTGCTTGCTGGGAAGCATGGTTTTGGGAAGGGAAGGGAAGAAGTGCAGCTGCTGGAGGAGGAATAGTAGGACCCCAAAAAGCTGGCAGTAGAAATGCCACAGCCCATTTCCCTGCCATCTCATGCTCTGCTTTCTCAGAGTAACACCTTCCCCTGGGGTTAGGGTGGTCCTTGGAGCTCTCCTACACAGACTTGTGTGCCAAGAGAGGGTGAGCTGGTGCTGCAGCCTTCACTGGGGGGGTGGTGGTTGCAGTGGGTGCCTGATGAGTGCTGCTGTCAAAACATGTCTCCTGTCCATGCTGCATGAGGTTCATTTCTGTGAAAGCAAAGCTAAAATTGGAAACCTTAAGGGGAAGTGCTCCTGTGTTCTGTGTCCCAGGACTGCTCTGGAGGAGCTGGAAATCTGGCTGAAATGGAAAAACTGGGGGTTTTTTATAAATTACCAAGTCCTGACTAAAATGGCTCTAGTTGTGCTGAGCTTCACATCCCTTTGAACAGAGAAGGACATGAAATGAAGCCCCTTTATTCACATTTACCATATTCAGCTGCAGCTCTTCCTGTGCCACCATGGCCTGTGCAGCACAAGGGGCTGTTGTGCATCTGTGGGAGGCTGTGGCCAAGGCTGCAGCTTCTTCCTGGGCAGCAGGAGCTTTCCTTGAGCTTTACACCATTAACTCCCCCTTCACCCACTGCCTCTGCAGGTTGGAGGTGCTTTTGCTTCGTGCTTATGAGCAAACAACCTTATCCCCACAGTTGTCCCCCTACAACAGGAAAAATGGGGAGTGCACACATGGATGAGCTAAATTGCCTTGATGCTGTGGCGCAGCTTCATTTCTCATAGCAGATATCAGAGACCTATCCCAAAGTAATAGGAATACTGACTTTTCCTTGTCAGATATACTTCCTACTTGCTAGGCAAATGTTTCCTGTACTCTTACAAAGGATGAAAGCTTGGTTTTGACGAGTTGCTGACTGCATTCAGTATTTAATTCTCTTGCTCATCATTTGTAGGAAAATGAATAGGAGGGAAATACATGCTCCTTTTGTTCCTTCCTCCAGAAACTCTAGAAAAGTTTCATTTCAAAGCTAAGGAGTCAGCGGGAGCTGTGAGACAGTCTGTAGTGATGGTAAGGATTGCAAGAGGACACAGGGAGGAGCCCAGCCGGCTGGGGAAGCGCAGCTCGAAGCTCCCCCTTGCAGGGCTGCTCTAAAACTGCAGCCGCTCGTTCAGGTCCCTTGAGTCTTTGCATCCTCTCCTGGCCAAGGGAGTTCAACCACTGTCCTGTTGTTACAGATCAAGGAGAGAAGTTTGCAAAGGGCAGAGATCATCTACCAGGATCTGTGAGATGGGAGGAGGCTGGTTGGATTCAGACATGAGGCTGGTCCTGTTGAGAACTTCTTGTTTTGGCCTTACAAGGTGCTCACTTCAGCCCGTGGCCAGGGTGAAGCTGCGGTTCCTCCCTGACACATCTCACCAACCTTGTACCCAAACTTTGTCCCTCTGTCCTGGTGCTGCCCAGAAAAGCCCCTATGGGTGTGTTACCATAGGTGTTACCAGGAATTCATTGATTCCTCGTCAAAGGCCTGGGATATGGAAAGCCCAAAAGTTGCAGCCGTGAACCCCCCTGTGTGCTGGGAGCACCCCCAGAGCATGAGCAGCAGCTCAGGGAGGGGATCCTGCCCCTCTGCTGAGAGGGACTTTGGACAAGGGCCTGTAGGCCCAGGACAAGGGGAATGGCTTGAACCTGCCAGAGGGGAGGTTGAGATGAGCTCTGAGGCAGAAGCTCTTCCCTGTGAGGGTGCTGAGGCGCTGGCACAGGGTGCCCAGAGAAGCTGTGGCTGCCCCATCCCTGGCAGTGTTCAAGGCCAGGTTGGACACAGGGGCTTGGAGCAACCTGCTCCAGTGGAAGGTGTCCCTGCCCATGGCAGGGGGTGGAGCTGGAGGAGCTTTAAGGTCCCTTCCCATCCAAATTCCATGATTCTATGGAAACCATTTCAGTGCTGTCTCCTTTGGCTGGGATGCTGATGGTTTGGCACGGAATACACAGCGAGCAGACGTGTGTCTGCTCTGTAGTGACTGTGTCTCTACAGCTCCAGCCCTGGGGCCGGGGTTTGGTGACCATCCCGCGCGTTGTCCTCCCCAGGTCTCGTTCCGGTACCACTGTCAGCTGTACTCGGAGTGGCGAAGGACCAACCAGAAGGTCCGGTTGATGCTCCCATCCTCCCGGAGCCCTCACCCCGTGCCCC